AGTTGATATAAATTTTAAAAAAGTGTCTTGTGACTTTTATGAAGAGTACGAAAAAAGTTTTGTACTACATAGACAATAATATTAAAAAATATAACACAAAAAATTACGCATACAGATTTCATGAAATGAATGCTGATCTACCTAAATTTTTATTCCAAGCATTATAAAAAAATATATATGAACCGTAATTTGTTGAAATAACATGTAAATCTATATGAACAATAATGTTGAACTCTTGGTGAACACTTTTCTGTTTCTATAATAATTTATTCACTTGCAGTTCGTTAGACGATATTTTATTTAAACAATAGTTACTATAACTCTGTCACTTTATATTATTGATAGGATTTTATTATGCAGAAATGGTATATTTATTATTAATTACCTGAATGTATTTACCATAGATCTCAAATAATTTTCTAGTCAATGAAATTGTTAATTCAATAAAAATATGGATCAAAGGATTATTCGAGCAATTTTGTAAATTTTTTAACGTATAGAGAAATGTTTAACTACTGTGCAACAATTTATCTTTAAATCGTTACAAAATTGTTATGCTATACTATTTTGTAAGTATATACAACTATTCTCTTATACATATTCGGAAGGGCTAGTATTTCAAAACTCTGTACGATGATGGTGTATTTATATACTGTATTACATATATTCTAGCCTTCGCTTCGGTGCGATACACATGTGCACGTGATTCGCGAAATACTTTCAACGAAACACGCAATTGTGCACAATTTATCATCAACTACAAAAAAAACTGCATTGCTTATTGCAATGTTAGTACACAGTTGGTACCATCGAATGGTAATGTTGCGGTATTTACTAACTTTCACAATACGGATAAGTCGAAAAATTACTCGGTAAGAAGTTTCGTAATGCACTTTAGGTTATAAAACAACGCCGTTTCGTGGAATAACGTTGCAGCAGGAAGAAAGGGAACGGAAGGGGTGGTCGTAGAGGGTTAGGTGGGCAGCATTGAGACCCACGATCAAGGAAAAGTTTTCTAAATTCAGCTACGAAATTAGCTTGACACTAATTTTACGAGGAAGCATGGGCAAGGCTAAATCAAGCCAGGGAAAAGATTGGCCAAGGAGGAGGCCGTAGCTCGCGTGATGCTTCATACCGACTTTGCGTGTCGAAGTCTGATTTGCTTTGTTGAATCAAGTGTATACCGGCTGCTATATCGCGCACAAAAGCGAATGAGATAATGTATTTTCTTTTCTCTTATATCCCGTTACCCACTCCGACTTCGTTACTTTCGTTAACAATTACATCTCCCCATAGGACATTTGGTTGTCAGCCTTTTTGTGGTGTTTAAAAACTGCTATCCTTATGATTTTAGCGTTAATTTCAGCAGCGCTTCCGCACATAAAAGAATAGTAATACTTAAAATATAGTATAACGTAACAATTTTGTAACGCTTTAAGATTAATTATATTGTAAACATGCACGTTGCACAGTAGTTAAATATTTCTCTACACGTTCAAAAATTCACAAAATTTGTTTGAATAATCTTTTGATAGTATCCACCTTTCTCTTCCCTCTCTTTAATATCCAGCGAGTTTCAGAAAGTCGTGATTTAAGTATATCATTTTTCTTACATTTATTTTCACTTATTCACTGGACACATCATTTTGATATCATTGAAAATTTTACTCAATTTTATGTAATTTTTCAAGTTAGTATAAGTGTTAGTTAGATGAAAGCCTTGGATATAAAGCAAAACCTTAAAAATTATACATATATTCACACTACAAACGTTATTTCTTTCATTTTATAAATATTCGTATTTCATTTAACATGTAAATTATTTGAATAATTTATAAAATTGTAATCTTAAATTTCTGTATGTATATATAT